GCTGGACTTGAAAAGCTGTTGAGACATCAGTGGGCTGTTCTGGAGAACCTGAGAAGATAAGAATGTAGATTACAGTGGAAACAATGGCGTCTGCTTCATTGAGAAGCAAAGACTCTGCCCGCTCATTTGTGTGAAGAATCTGTGGTTCTGATCAGCTGGAGCTGAAGAATTAGCTGTGGTTAACAAGAGAGCAGAACCACTAATGTGGAACCTTTACTCTGCTGTGACAGAAGGATCAGCCCCGATGAAGAGAAGACCAACATTGGAAGTGGTCTTCTAGGAAGTGTTTCCTGAGTGTCGCACACAAGCTGTGTTCTAGAGGTTGTACAGCATGCTGGCAGCCAAGCTCGGTAATGTCCACCTCCCAGATGTTGCTATTTCGGAAGACAAAGTGGTCAGGCAGAGCAGCTGAGGCTTGGCACCATGAAAGGAGCAAAAGAGAGGCTATTGGTGAATGTGCAGCCCTACTGCAGCAGAAGACCCCATCATTTTAGAGTTGCCAATACCATGGGGAAAACACCAACAGTAGCAGCTGTGCAGTAGGGCTGGTCTGAGCCTCGAAGACAAGCAGTGTGGACAGAGAGCAGAGCCAGGGACGTGACCTAAGCCCCTGGGAGAAGTCCAGAAGATCATGAGTGAATACTGGGCATTGAGTTATTTATACAGTTTGAGTTGCATTTTACTTTGACCAGAATGTGACTGTGCCCTAGTTCTTCCCTCTTGAAATAAGATTTTTTTTTTTTTTTACATTATAGGGGCCTAAATTGAAACACTTAGATTTTAAGACTTTGGATTTTTTTTTAAGTTTGAATTTGTAAGACTGTAAAATATTTCATATTGTGATGTTTACATTCCTGTGTGATCTTGGGGGTGAACAAAGAAGGAAAGGTAGAGGCTTTACAGTGATGTGCTTGTATGTTCAAACTGACAAGGGGTCACCTGACAAGAGCTTAAGTTATCCGACAGGAAGGAACGTCAACTGAGAAAATGCCTCCACACAGGCAAGCCTGTAGGGCATTTTTAAATTGGTGATGGATGGGGCAGGGCCCAGCCCACCGTGGGTGGTGCCATCCCTAGGCTGATGTTCTACAGGAAAGCAGGCTGAGGAAACCAATAAGCAGCACCCCTCCATGGTCTCTGCATCAGCTCCTGCCTCCAGGTTCCTGCCCTGTGTGAGCTCCTGTCCTGACTTCCTCACTGATGAAGTGATGTGAAGGCTTGCTCATGGTATTTCCTCACGGGGGTTGTGGGGGTGGTGGTGGGGAGGACTTTACATTCTGTAACTGAGTAGTTTTCACTTTCTCCAGCCCTAAAGAAAAAAAAAGTGATACATTTACCTAGGCTGAAAATTAGAATGAGAATACAGACCTTTCGTCAACTCAGTCCCTGATCTTGTGTGCAATAAAGGTATAAATAGATTTCTAAGATGGACTTCCTTACAATTTTAACTCAAAGGCTAAACATGAATCACAAGCAAGAAAGTAGTGGATATGACCATAAATATTTTTATTAAATGTGAAAATACACGGGCATAAAAATATTGCCCATATTCATTGACACGTGTAAGCCCAAGTTGAAATAATTTTAGTTCCTTTTTTATTAAAACACTAAATTGAGATGGATTAAGTAAGGTTTGGCCCATTTAAAACAAATATAAACTTAGGAGTAATAATTTAAGTCACCAAACATCTCTAATTTTTACCTCCCCTGTGCCTGCATTTCTCTGCACAGGTATTTCAACCACAGACAGTACAATATAGCCTGTTGTTACTGTACACAAAGCCACGCAGTGGCTAATTTTACTCTTAGATCATTCAGCAAATGAGATCATCTGTTTAAAAAAAATACCTCCCCCTTTTAACATCATTTGAAATTACAGAATAAATTCTGCCACTAATAGAAAAGGAATGATAGGATTTGGAAAAAGATTAGCTCTTAGAGATTACCATCTCCTCTCCTTCCTTCACCACAGCAAAGTCAAGTACAGTCAAGAAAACCGTCTTCAGTCACCAGTTACCCAGGGATGTATCTGTAAGGCATGTCGGCACACACGGGCCCTGCAGAGTCAAGTCTGCATGCCGGCATCTGACCCAGGAGTAGCTAGTGTGGACTACTGACAAGCTTTACTCAGTTATCCGTAACCCTTTCTCACACTCGTTTTAGAGATAGGTGTTTAAATTTGTTACTTTTGAAGTGGGGCCTAAGGTCACAGTGGCACGCCATGTTGCAGCCCCACACTCTGGGATTCCAGGCATGAGCTACCATGCCTGTGGGGCCTAAGGTCACAGTGGCATGCCATGCTGCAGCCCCACACTCTGGGATTCCAGGCATGAGCCGCCATGCCTGCTTACATTTAAATAAAAAATCTAATTCCATTCATTATCAGAACTCTGATAAATCTGCATATTGCTATTTAAAAACAGACCTTTAACACTGAGTACTGATATTTTTAAATTAAGATGTTAGATCCAATTCACATTAATAAACTACTGAGATATTTTCAGGCTTTCTTCTATTCAGAGTAAGAAAGAATAAAGTATTAGAACTGAGAAATAAAAGGAGTGGCCCTCAAGCAGACACTTTTCCTTCTTCCCGAGCGATGAGCACTGGACACAGCCCAGTGACACTGCACTAAGAAGGAAGGTCCACCAAGGAAGGACCGTCTATGAAGAGAAAAGAGCTCAGCCAAGGTGAACATTGGTCATGGTTTCCCCAGAACGAGCACAAAGGTCACCTGCAGTTCCTAAACACAGATGTTGGGATGTGGAAGTAGCTCTGCAGTGAGAGAAGAGGCAGAGAACGCATTCTCAGTACTGTGGTTCAATGTCAGGCGGGTAGCAGGAACCACTGTTCCCACACTGTGACTCCTCTGGGACAGGCTGGACACAGAAGACAGCTGACAGCATCCAGGACAGGACATCCTTCTCTCTCATCTCCTGCCATAGCATCTGCCCTTGGTACCGAAGCTGGCAATGACAAAGCCTAATCCTCAGTTGCTTTGGGTTGTTACAAGTAGGAAGGGGAAATGAGTGAGGAGGCAGGTAGACCTGGGCCATGTCCATGCAGCCCACCGTCAGCCCTGTCAGCATCCCGCTGGCTCCACACTGCTGGCAGCTTCCCATCGCTCTCAGTGGGAGTGGGAGCGTCCTGACGGCTCCTTTGTTCTGCTAGTGAACACTGAGCTTGGGAAAGCTCACAGATGCCATCACTCCAGTTCACAACTGTGAGTGACAACATCACAAAAGGAGTCAGACTGAAAGACAACTATAACATAAGTAGTTAACATAAGATTACTAAGATTTGAAAAACACACAAAAGTGCTTTTCATTCAATGTTTCACACTGGCTTGAACTGATTTAATATTTTGTTGGAGGCCCTGGCAGGGAACTCACTATGTAACCTAAGCTGGCTCAAACTCTTAGGAATCCACCTGCTTCTGCCTGTCTCTACTGCTAGGAGAAAAGCTACGAGTTTTCTTGCCTGCCTTGAATCTTGAGACACTGAAGCAAAATGAAAGTTGAAAGGTATTTCAAAATGCATTGTTAAGTGTTTTGGTAAGAGACAGGCTCCTAAGGAGAGGCAAAAAGCACTTAAATGTTTTGCCCAACTCAACTTTGTAACTCATGTTCTTGCAGTTAACAAAATATTTTTCTGTATCTGCTCAAGGATGACTACAGGCTAAGAAAATGATTTGTGCTTGGCTGCTACATTCATGCTTCCTTCCCACCATTTACTAAAATGTTTAATTTCATAAAAGCAATATATTAGACATTTATGCTTAAAATATCTCACAAGGTTTAAAAAAAAAAAAAACTTTCTAGAATAGAGGTGATCATTCTTACCAAAGTAATTCTTTTAAGTTTTCAATACAGCATCAGTAGTTCCATAAATATTCAATATTCTTGATTTACCAACAGATTTTTAGAGCAAAAATTATTCAGTATACAAATACTGACTAGTACATTTCTTAAAGAAGTATCTGAATTAAAGTAAGAGAGACAGGAATGTTTCGGGAGGAAATGCCATCTTATTAAGTGTATGATAGAAGGTACACAGCCAGAGTTGAATGGGTTTGCAAGACTACTTTCTTCTCTCCGAATAAACAACCAAGGAACATCTAGTCCAAACCCCAGCACACAATATAACCAAGACAGCTGGACTAAACATGTAAGAGGAGGAAAAACTGCTTCACCTCACAAAAGGCAACCATAATGCTCTGCTCATGTGGACAGAGCAACTTTCCCTTTCTAAACCAATTTTGTGACAGGAAAGTTCTACCAAATAACTTGGAACTTCGCTTTCTTAAAAAGTATTTCAAACTGACTTTCAACAGTATTGTCTAAAATACCACAGAGCCTCTTTCATATATTTTAACTTACTCTGTTAAATTTAACAATTAAATTCAAGTTAAATTGGTATTCTCCTATAGATATAAAATAACAACAAAAATACTTCCAGTCTACACCTGGACATATGACCTCCACCTGCTGGGAAGCCAGTCTTGGCCTCTCCCTCCCGCAGGGAGAGCTGATGACACTGGTGCAGGAATACTTGCAAGTGACTGGATTGAGCACGGTCTAAGCATAACTATTCCTCCGAGAGTCACACTCAGCTGTTCACAGTCCTTCCAAAACTGAGACACAGTCCACCAAGGACACAGCTCCTCCTCATGGTCAATACACACACCTGGATAGAATCTCTCTGCTCCAGGGTGACAGATGGATAGTTAATGCTTCTGAACACCCCCATAGAGTAAATAAATACCTCACCTCTTCTCCCAGAAGTCACAAAATGAGTACAGGCTGCCTTGTCAGAACTACAGTTCCTTGCTTCCCACCCTGACAGGCCTGTCAACCTTAAAGTAAGCACAGCTTTTTTTCTTTAAAACAACTCTTTGGTTATAGATAAACTAAAAGATTTGTTCCATTTTGTTTCCATTAGAATCCCAAACAAAATTTGTTTTTAATGTTAAAAATAATATAAAAAAAAAAGAAGAGAAGGAGCAGTAAAATAGCTGGTTTAATTGAAGTGGAATTTAAATCTGAACGGTCCGCCTGAGCTGAAGGGATTGAAGCCTTGCCATGAGTTCCAGCTTCTGTGGAAGGGGTTGCCACCACCTCCTTGCTGACTCTCTGCATCAAGAGGGTCTTCTCCATCATCAAATTTCTTTCTCATTTCTACAAAAGAAAACAACTTAAGACTCACATACTAATCTAAGGTATAGGTACAAAGCCTTAATACTCAAACCCATACTTACTCATTCCCATCCTAAAGAAAACAACTGCAAAGAGAACTCCCAAAGTCAGGCTCACTCGTCACAGAGCAGCCTGTCATTACTCTCACCCCTAAATGACAGCCATCAGGCAAGAACCTCATCGAGTCCCCTCCACAAAGTACCTAAGGAGCTTCTTGAGCTATGTGGCCCAGCAGGTGCAACACAACACTCCACAGGCTGTTTCCTCACATAATGCAGACGCATGAGGGACACCTGAGGCACGCGCAGAGTTGGTGACCCAGGAAGGACACCTGAGGCACTCTCAGAGTTGGTGACCCAGGAAGGACACCTGAGGCACTCTCAAGGTTGGTAGAAGGGGACAGAACTCCCTTAACACCTCCAGATCCCTAAAGAGCCTGACTCTGCTCCAACCAGTCACTGCATTACAATTTGCAATGCACTTTGCATTTGAGAAACAGAACAGTACCTACCATATTTAATAACAAAGTGCTTACTAGATTACAACTTACTTGGGACAAAAAGGCATTTCAATTCTGTAGTATAAATGGATGCACAGAAGACTTGCTCAAGAGGCAAAACTTGATTTCCTCATTGTTGAACCTTTCTAGCTAGAATTAGAATGCCTGTCCCTATCCATAGGAAAGGCACAGAAAAGCATTCTGAATGAATTCTTACCCTGTCTCCTTCACATACATGTCAACCAGTAAATCTGTTCACGTGACTTGGAGCAAGATTGCTGTTAACATCCATGGGGGCCCAATAGCCCCAGCTGGTGATCTACTAAGCCAGCTTGACATTCTGATTTCCTCACCAGGCTCCTGAGACATTTGGGAATTTGGTACCAAGAATCATCCATCACTGAGCTAGGAAGCTAACAGGAGTCTAAGATATGTCTATTATGTTCAGTGTTGTTCTTTCATGTGATTACAGAAAAAAGAAAAACACCTAAGAGGTGACAAGAGCTTGTTCAAGTAGGAAAACAGTATTCCACATTCACTATTCTTCCACTACCCCATTTACCTGAGAGTTTCCAAACTACAGGAAGAGACTTGTGAGACCACAGTACTCGCCAGCACCCACAGCCCTCCAGCTCCCCACCCCGCTGCTCCACACTGCCTGGGATGGGAACAGGCAGGAAGAGTCACTCCCTGCATTGCTTCAAGAACAGAGGTACCTGGGTCTGAGAGGACTTCTTTAGCAGCTGCTATGTCAATGAACTTTTTCTCTGCTTTTTTCTTTTCTTCTTCATTCTGGAAATTATCTGGATGCCACTGCAGTGCTAACTTTCGGTATGCTTTAATGATTTCTTGTTTTTTGGCATTTCTGTAGGATTGGGGGAAATTATTTCGTAATTGTCAGGAAAAAAGTATTCTACATTCAATATTCTTTCTACTACACCATGTACCTAAGGATTCCCAAACTCATGCAGAAGAGAAAAGGTCCAAATTCCTTTCAAAAAAAACCACAAGAGCTGTGCTGGTAGTCCTGTTGGAGAACTCAGTGGTAGGCAGCTTCCCTTGCATATGTATCAACCTGAGGTTCATCACAACACAGCAAACAAATACTGTAAGCTCTGTGTGTGTAAAAAGGAGGGAGGGAGGGAGGGAGTGAGGGAGGGGGGAGGAAGGGAGGGGGAGAGGGAGGGAGGGAGGGAGGGACAGCTGATGATACACAGCTGTTTTCCTAGAAGTTCCAAAGATGTAAGTCAAAGATCAAAGACTTAGCATACTATTCTAGACAGTCAATTTTGGTTTTCCTTCCTTTTGGGGCCACAGGGATGGTTGGGGACAAACACTGAGAACTGTATACAAGGCAAGCCCACTACACTGACTAAAACCCAAGGCTTCCTTCCCGAGACACTTCTGCACGACTAAGTGTCTTACAGGACAGTCCAGGTCTTTACAACTGCAACTTTCTGAGTCTCCACACTACCATGATTTAGGGTTTCCTGGGCATTAAAAAAATTCTCACACCAGAGATGGTAGTGCAAGCCTTGAATCCCAGAAGCACACAGAGGAGAGGCACATGAGTCCCTCTGAGTTTAAGGCTATCTAGATGTACATTGTGACTTCAGCCCAGGCAGGGTTGTACAGTGAGACCCTATCAATCTATTAATCAGAATAAAGCACACACACTCGTACACAAAATCTCTTTGAACCCCTTATTTTAGGTTACGTTTACTTAATACTACGAAAGCTGACAGCGTACCTGGGTCTTGTTTTTTGGATAACAATTTTTATTTTATGTATATGTTGTTTGCATGTGTGACCACCATGTGTGTACAATGACAGAGCCAGAAGTGAAGGTCAGAACTGGAGTTAGACAAGGCTGTGAGCCATACCATGTGGGTACTGAAAGCTGAACCTGGTCCTCTGCATGACCCAGTGCTATTAGCCCCAAGCCCTCTCTCCAACCTGGAAAATGGGTCACACAGTAATAGCAGGGCCTCAACTCTAGTCACACAGTAATAGCAGGGCCTCAACTCTAGGCCCAGAGAGGCTGCCTTTTCCTTCCCACTCCAGCCACAGTAGAGTGTACCTCTACTTCTTATCTTTCCCAGAGACGAGGACTGGGAAGTGTAGATGCCCCAGCCTTCATTCACCACCTATCTATAGTGCGCTCCTGATCGCTATGAAAGACTTGCCCGTAGCATACTGAGGACAGTTCATGATGTCGAGATGTTCGAGTAACAAGTAAAGTGAGCCAGGTTAAGACAAAAGGAGCTAGAGTAGCTCTGAAGCAGTTGATTAAATACAGCATGCAAGCTTCAGTAATTCACCTTTTCACTCCCAAGATTTTATAATAATCTCGTTTCTGGGACTGTTTCAGTAACCGCTGGGCTTTCTCTAAACCTTCCCGGATCTGCTGATCATTTTCATTGTGTTCCTGGGCAGCTTCATAATCCTGAATGGCTGTCAAGATACGTTTAGGAAAAGGCTGTTAGGGGAATTACAATTCAGTGCCTTATGCATTCTACCAGCGCAGAACTGTGTCCTCCTTGCCAGCTCCTTCGCTCACTGCTGCTTCTAAGAGCCTAGAGAGTACCAGTCTCATCATTTTGCTTAAACTGAATTCACAGTTGAGGCTGGAGTTCGTGCTGCTGTTGGACAGAGCTCAGTGGCTGGTTCACTTGTCTACCCTCCCACACTGTCTCCTCACACCTCCTTTAAGGTTATACAGAGCAATCTCAGCACCACTAAGACTTAAACGACCACTGCATAGCAAAGGAAGGAGTACACTTGGAAACAAAATCAGCATTGACATCTGTGGTTGATGGTCTGGAGAAAGCAACAGGTACAAAGGGAGCTGGAAGAACCATCAGCTCAGTACTGCCAACGTGATAGCAGTGTCAATCAAAACACAAAGACCTAGTGGGATAGGTCTGGAGGAAATCTACAGTACGTGTTTTGAAAGTATTTAGGTATCTAATAAGCAAAAAGAACCAATGAAGCAGGACTGAGATTCAGCCTTTAAAAGGAAGGCTGATGACCATTTTTTATGCATGGGCAAGTGGGGGATGCTGAATTTCAGAAACATTCCAGTATTCCTTAGACTCACAGACTCACTATGCCTGGGAGTCTGAAATCTAGGTATGATTAGACAGTGACTAGAAACTGAAGTTCAGTGACAGCCCTGGGTGCTGGGTCTCTGTTGGGGCCTAGTTGTAGAACTAAATTTATTTGTGTTGGTTCATAGAAGAAAAATATTCAGAATCTTAAGTTTCCTCCAGAACCTGGCTGATCCTTTGCACTTTTCATCCTCCGTGGAGCACATCTGAGCCCCTGAACACAACTGCAGGCTAAGTCAATATGTCCTACCAAGTCTGATGTTAGTCAGGGAGCCTTGACACACATTTTCTAAATAAACAAATTAAAGGATTTTGAAACCAAATTCTATTATTTGTGGAAAAATAGTGTGGAAAAAGAAATTTATTTGGATAACATTTATTTATCTTGGCAACAGTTAATTGTGTAAAGGGTGTAAGAAGGAACTTGAACAAATAATAAAATGACAAGCTTAACACACTTAAGCTACTTGTTGTACACTGAAAATGAGCCAATAGTATCAATAGACAAGCCCAACGTGAACAACTAACCTGGAGGCTGACTTATACCCTGTGGTGTTATAGGATGCTATTACTGTGATTCACCTACAGGGAATGTTTTCTAACTTAGTTCATAAACTATCTCAAATATTAGTGAGGTTTAAGTTAACAACTACTATCCAAAGCACCTACTACCCTAGCCTTGGAAGAAAGTTCTCTCGAAAGGATATGAGAGAAAAGTGTTTCAAGACACACAAATCTGCTGTTCTTAATTTAAAACACATTTACATTCTTTTCTTTACAGGGAGACACTGTCTCCCTGTGCAGCCCTGGCTGTCCTAGAACTTGCTCTGTAGACCAGGCTGGACTCGAACTCTCAGAGATCCTCCTGCTTCTGCTTTCCAAAAACCGGGAGTAAAGGTGTACACCACCAACACCCAACTCACAGTTTCACCGTTAAATTTAAAAACTGTGATTTCATTTGAAATTGAGAGCTGGGGGAGGTGCCACACAGCACATGGAGGTCAGAGAACTGCAGTGGTTCTATCCCATCTACCACGAGTCCCACACTGAACTCAGGTCGGCAGGCTTGCCGCAGGAAGCACCGTTACTCACGGAGCCACCTCACCATCCCCAGCCACCAAGTCTTCTTCGTGATACTTATTAAGATACAGTATGCAGATCTGTCAGGCTATAGAAAGGGTAGAATTATTGGTTGTTCCGTGTTGCACATGATTAACAACAGGGACTGACTAGAACCTAAAATACTTCCCACAGGCATACGGTAGCCACCTAATTTTCGTTTTATTTCCTCAGACCCCGCACTACGGGAGGTAATCGTTAACAACACATGATTCAAGTCTACTTGACATGCACATGCTCCTATAAACAACCTTAAGGTCGATGTACTATTAAAAATAAAAAGTGAACTGATATAAGGAGGGAGGTGTGTTGGAGAGAACAGGAGGTAATTCTGATTAAAACCCATGGGAAATCATCAAAAAAAATTTAAAATTAGCAAAAAAACCCTAATTAAATGTTCATATAGTACTATTAAAAATGTGGTAAAAGACAATACAGGTAATGATTCTATCTTTCAATTAACATACTACTGTGTATGCTCCAGGACTGCCGTCCTTTGAGGTCCTCATAACATCTAGGAGGAAGCCTCTTAGCTCACCCTAATGCTGCTAAAGTTTGGAGGTCACAGAATCATCCTGTCAAAGGAAGGTGTATGCACACTTTATATGTATGTACTATACATACTTCCATATCCCACTGACCTGGTTTCAACAGAATTCTTTCCTCAGATGCTGTGCCTATTATGATCCACTAAGACAGAATAATTACCAATTTTTCAAATTCTTAGCCCTTTGCAGATGAATCTGTTCAAAATAAAATGCAACTGAACCTGTGCTGGTTTCCCACTTTAACCTTTAGATAGTGCAGGTCAGACTCCTCCCCTTACCTTCATCATACATCTCCTCTGTTAAATAGGCCTCTGCTCGGTCTTTCAGAGCATTTACATTGTCGGGCTCCATCTGTAAAACTTCAGAACATATTCGAATGGCTTCAACAGGCTTCTCATCCTAAAAGTAAACGCAAGAAAAGAGGATGGGCTGGAGGCGCACCTCAATGGTAGTGCCTGCCGCCACGCATGAGTTCCCGAGTTCAATACTCACTGCCAAAATGAATTAAAAATAAGCACTATGGATCAGAGAGACGGCCAGTAGTGTGTGCACGGAATGACCAAATGAATGGTTAAGCCCACTGTGGCTGCTGTTCCATGTCTGGGAACATGCCAGCTCACCTTAGAGAAGCAGTGACAGATCCTTTCTTTTGAGCGGATTGTGTACTCAGCAACACTGGGCTCTGTCTTCATGACTGATTCATATTTGCTGGTTGCATCTGTGTATCTATGAAATAAGCAACCAGTGAGGAATAAGGAGACGGTTTCCAAAGCTGCAGACACCGCCCTCCTTTCACTATGTGTCACTTAGTAAATACAGTGGAAAGGACACAAGACCTGCCTCCAAATAAGTCCCTCTAACCTTAATCCAGAGGAGCCTGTTCAACACAGAGACATGAGTCTCTAAAGCTGGGGCTGGGGGCGGGGGAGGGGAGCAGCCAGAGGACTCATCAGGTGAAGATTCCTGTCACAAGACTGAAGACCTGAGCTAATCCCTAAAACTCCGTGGCCGAAAGAGCCCCAGACACATTCTCCAGGGCATGTATTTGCCTATGCTCACAAGAAAATTGAACAAAAACAGTTGAAAGCATGTGGCTAGGGCATATAGGTGATGGAAAGTTAAATGAAGAGACCCTGTCTCACTCTTCATTCTGAGGGGAACCCAACAGTGGAGCTGCCTCAGGCCCGGTCATGCTCCTCTAAGTCCAGGAACCTTGCTACTTCACCAAACTGTTTGCTCTGTCACTGGCAAACACTTGTTCATGTCTCCCCAGAAAACATTCACAAAACAGACTACACACACACACACACACACACACACACACACACACACACAGAGCAGGCAGCAGGGAGCAGCACTTGAGAGCAAAACCCAGGACTTTGCATAAGTCAGAAGCACTCACTCTGCCGCTGGGCCATCGCTCTAACCTAAGCCGTCCATGTTAAAGCAGCTGTGTGATCGTCAGTGAGCGGATGGCTAGCTAACTATAGCAGACAGTAGTACCATGGAAGACAGTCACCAACAAACAGAAAGGGAGGATTAATTCTAGAAGCTGGGTAAATGCCCAGAGAATTATGCTAAGGAGAATATATATGCTAAGGAGAATGCAGGCTCATCTCAAAAGCTGACAGGTTTTGTTTCCATTTCTTTCAGACTCTTTACAATGGCAAAGCTATAGACAAGGAATGTACCCACTGTTGCTAGAGTCTAAGGATGACTGGGACAGGAGAGGAGTTGTGACTGTGAAAGGTGACCTAAGACAGACTTGAGCAGTGACAGATCTTGATCACGTTAGTTTGCAAGACATTGGGGTAAACTGGGCAAAGCGTTCTCCTGACAGCTACAAAGGCAATGGGGTAGGAGCCGGTCAGACTCTACCTCCCACTAAGCAGTAGTGTGGAAAGTCTTCTCTCCGACAGTGCTGGTCCAGCCTGTCAAGCCCTGTGCCCCAGTATCCACACACACTCCCACTGTTAGAGGACAATGTAATATCCGCAGTTCTCTAAGAGCTCTTCTCTTACTCCTGGCCTTCACGGCCTCCGACGGGGTTACGGCTCTCTTCTTGCTTCTCCCATTAAGTTCTGCTCTAGCACTTGGCTACCAGCTCCGTCCCCCAGCACTGAGGTCCATGCACCTCCCACATAAACCTTAAAGACTAAACCCTGCAGGCACAAACGAGGACACACCTGACGTCACACACAGCTGCTCGTCAGGATGCTATGCAGTTACTGTTACTTCTATCTTGCCGCTTCAACAGTGTACATAATCCTGATGAGTTTGCTCGGCTCAGTGCCGTCTGGATCCTAACCAGGCGGATGAGGAAAGGCTCTTACCTGCCGTCCCTGATCAGCTCTTCAGCTGACTCAATCAGCTTGTTAAGTTTCTTCACTTGCTTATAGTGTGCAAAACACCGCTTGTGATCCTGGTCGAGTTTCAGACACTCACGAACTTCACTGCTCGTGGAATTTAAAAAAACATTACTGGCAATATTCCAAGTCAAAATAATCATTGAATACCTCTCTGTATTAAGTAGAGAAATCATCATTAAGTTCTTTTTCTTTGGAACGATGGAAACATGCTGACTTCATAATTTGCTATGCATATTGTCTCATAGACACAGTAATTGAAATGGCACACAGTCACACACTGGATTCTCCAGTTCAGCTCAGTAAGTAAAACAGCATCCTCGCTTACGTTAGTAAGACTGTTTCAGGAAGATCAACTGTAGGATCTATGTATTATATGTACATATTACCTTAGGGATAACCGAAGTTATTTGAGTGGATATAGGTATTTTTAAAAGCCTTTAATATTTCTATTAACATGCTATGAAAACTGTAGAAAGAGCAGCTAGAGGTGAAGGAACTGACCTGAGAGACAGTTCATGGTCTCCTAGCTGGTAGTAGAGTGTGCTGATTTTGTAAAATGCCTCTGTGTTGTCATTCTTCAGCTTTGAAGCAGCCTTTAAGTCACTGATGGCTTTCCGGGGCTCTCCTTCCTTTATGAAGCACTCGGCTCGCAGTTCACGCAATTCTGCATCCCAAACACAAACCTTAAGAAACAAAAGAACTAGACTTTAAGTCACATAGGTATGCACACTGATTCCTGCACCCTACACATTCACACACACACTCATAAATATAAAAACACTCGGTCAGTGTGATAAGGTCATTATTTTATAAATGATGTTGAGAACCCTGACACACTTACATGTGACAGCCAGAATATGATAATCTCTTGAGTGTGTCTTAAACTCTTAACAGGAAAAGGAGATGCAACAAAAGGGCCTTTCTTTGTTCTCCTTTCTTCCTGGGATTACAGTTTTACAAGTCTGACTATAAGAAAACCTAGCACTTGCACATTTAGTTCCAACCAAGCTTCATGCACAGTGAAACCTTTCTCAAAAAAGAAGGAAAGCTACGCATTCACCATTAGATTATTCCACTCAAACGTTTGAGAAGAATCAATATTCAACAATTATAATTGCTATAATTAAGAAAATCTAAGTTCCTATTAGTAATTCTTGATTTGTCTTGTTTTTTGAGACAGGACACCATGTATACAAGCTGGCCTCCAATACCCTATGCTCACCAGACCCAGTTACTCCAATACCAGGTGTCACACTCAGGGCACCAACTGAACTATCTTCCCCAGCCCCAACCCTGACGCTGCACTGATGACTAAATCCTGACCCTGCACTGATGACTAAATCCTGACCCTGCACTGATGACTAAATCCATCCAATGCCCTCTTCTGGTGTTTCTGAAGACAGCTACACTATACTCACAATACATAAAAAATAAATAAATCTTTAAAAAAACAGAATTCCTCTATGTCGCATCACATGATTTCTCCTATAAAATTATCAAATAAGAGCCAGCAAGATGTTTAGTATGTAAAGATGCTTGCATACAATCCTTGTGACAAGTATAATCCACAGGACCCACACAGAGATAGAAGAAGAGAACTAACTGCACAGAATTCCTCTTTGGCCCTTCAAGGGCATCACAGTACATACAACTACACACATATATCATACACACACACACACACACACACACACAGAGATAATTTTTTCATTATCAAGTAGATCCATATATCATATGTTTACTGCCAGTATTAAGTTAAAGGGCTGTGAAAATGTTAATTATATTGATTATTTCCATTTAGGCTTTGTTCTGAACTCCTTTGAAGCAAGGAAACTCCAAATTCAATGCTTCCTACAAGAACCCTCCCTGTCATAGCGTACTCTGCCTTCTCTCTTACAAGGTTCTCATTGTAAAAGTATTCCTCTTTGTTTCCAAACACCATCTTTCCCATTATCTAGCATAGTATTCTCCAAATAAATAAATTAAATACATTCATTCATTCATACATACATACATACATACATAAATACATAAATACATAAATAAATAAGGCAAAGCAATCCATGGATAAAACACGTTCTTCTCAACCTGGTAGGGCAGTGCAAGTGTTTAATCCCAATACTTGTGAGGCAAAGGCAGGCAGATCTCTGTGAGTTTGAGGCCAGCCTGGTCTACAGAGAGTTTTGAGTTAACTAGAGCGATACAGAAATAGAAAAGACTCTGTCTCAAAAAAACAACAACAAAAAATGTAATTCTCACTTTACAGTATACCAATATTTACTAAAAATCTTTAGTTGCAAATTTATATGACCAATTTTTAAGAGCTGAACACCCAAAGATCAGTCTATATCCTATCTTGGTTTTGGTAGTACATGAACGTGTCTAACACGAGACATAAAAGCAGTGCCAGACTTGTCGTCAGCTGCAGTATGTAAGAAACTCACCTCTAAAATCTTATCAAGGAAGGTTATAGCAGCAGTGTAATCAGCACTGTCGAAGGCGTCGAGGGCTTGGGAGCGCAAGCGCTGCATTTCGTCAGCTTTGACAAGTTGAGACTCGGCTTCCTTCTCTTCATTCTCACTTGGATTAGATTTGAGCTACAGCCAAACAACAAAATCAAAGTTTTAATCTTATAAATCCGATACCTGTAACAGACACAAAGATCTCACCATTCCAAAAACCGTGGCACAGACCCTGCACAGAGGAGCCAATCAGACCACGGCCATAAACTGAGACAATACAAAGAGTTGCTAACATTGGGTTACTCACTCTACACCAGCAAGTAACAAAGGCAGGAGTAACACAGACGGCTGACTTGGAGGCTATGAAGCCTGTTTCAGCTGACATTACTAGATTCCCAGGTAGCTAAGTTAAAGAAAGTGAGCCTGTAACTGACAGAGTTATCATACAGATCAATTGTGTGCACTGCATCTTCCAACTGTTAATATGATTCTTTGATGCCAGTCATTAACTATTAATTTAGGAACTATGATTCCTATATATATAAGGTTTGTTTAGCTATAAAATTACTATTTAAATACTTTATTACAAAGAAAAAATATTGACAGAAACCATGCAGGAAAGGCTATGGCAAGTAGTGAGCTTCCTGGAGATGGCCCACTGTTTTACATGGGTGAGCTCTGGAGAGGCACAGCCCAGAGACTTCGTCCCAGGATTGCTTCTCACTGCTGATATGCCCTTACTGTCACTATTACATAGCCTAATTGTTCCTGGGCATCAGCCCACCCTATTAGACAAACTTCCTGAAGATCAATATGAAGATGAGCTTTCATATTATAATGCTGTTTAGATGAATTATTGACTTTATAGCACTCCCGATTTGATTCAAATAATGTTAAGAAGAAAGTTTAAGGAGATGGTTTTAGTTGTTTTGCCAGAAAGATGTAATGAGTTAGAATCAAGGTAGAATGTGCCCCCTCCTCACAGTAAGTAAAGGCTGCATAATAAGGAACACAATGAGCTTTCACAATTGCACTGAGAAGAGAAACAGGCTTGGGACAGATTTGTGATCAAGGAAAAACACCCATCCTGTATCAGGTCCAAGGATGAGGCCACAGGTGTGCACTGTGACAAAGCAAGGCCACGTGAAACTGTTGCTTTGAACTTATACTGAGCTTATAGGATGAAACTCTGCTTTGAACTTACTATGGACATCCTTCTGTAATTCCCTTTTGTGTACCATTTTATCTGTGAGGGAATTTTATAAAGGACTTTTGTCTAAGAAGCTATAAAAAGGCTGAGAGAAGGAATTAAGTGTGGCTGTTGGGGCTCTGCTCCATCCACCAAATATATGTGTGTCTGTCTGTCTGTCTGGATGTATGCATGTACAATATGTATATATGTATATATGTCTGTCTATATGTAGTGCATATATAAGTATGTAGACATATGTGTACGTATATAAGTATACATGTACACTTGTGAAACTGATGACACTGATGATCAGGAGAGAGAGAGAGAGAGAGAGAGAGAGAGAGAGAGAGAGAGAGAGAGAGAGTGTGTGAGTCAGTCCCCACTCACATGCGCCTGACTTTCTCTGTGAAATTGCCAAAAGTCATCAGCGTTTGACCCCAGAACAGTGCGAGTTAAGGGTTAGGGCTCCCAGCAGCCAGCAACTTCTGGCCCCCAAACAGTAAGAGAGAGTTCAAAGGCCAGGTCGCCAGCCTTTGGCCTTCGTCCAATGCTGTGTCCCACTTTAGTACCTGACTGTCAGGGCTGGCTCCCAGCAAAGAATCAATTCTGTATGACTCTCAACAATACCTTCTTGGAGCCAGGTACTTACCACTTTCTTGAAATCATCTTCTGCTTCATCAAGTTTTCCTTGTTTGAGTAGTAAGTGCCCTCTCTGTAATCTTGCCTAGGAAGAAACAGAGCGGCTGTCCTGAGTACTGTGGATTTCTTAATTTTCTTTAAAAATAAAGAATAAATAATGTAATCAAGTTACTAATATTCCTTTTTCCAGTGTTTGCTTGCCTTATTACTGAGACAAATTCCTATAGCTATAGAACGTACATTAATTTTTATTGAAGTTTTCTTTAGAAATGTTTTGCTCAACACAAAGGCTCCGTTTCAGGAGTTGTCTATTTACCACAATAAGATTTCTTTCTGAGTGACAAGAGTGCCCTGGAACTAGATGATAGCAGCGGTTACACAGCCTGTAAACATACTGATGCTTCAAAATGGGAAGTTAATGATACATGAATTATATACACTTTTTTTTTTAAAAAAAAAAATAAAGCTGGGTATCAAACACAAGGACTCATAAAGAAGATACAACGGTTCTACCTTCAAGATATATTCCAAGCCCTGTATTTTAATTTTAAAAGATACTTTTTGACATCATACTAATCTTTTCCAAAGAAAGCTGCAGTGAGACTATCGAAGCTCCAGAAATAGGTTTGCTGTTCATTAAACCTTCAATTATCAATGTAAATATTTATTATAGACAGAGAGACAGTGTCTCTTCCCCCTTCATTTCTGATATTCTACTTCTTCTAATATTATATACATTACCCTAGCCCTTCAACATATACCTACTATCTGATGACTAATTTCTTCTTAAAATTAAAAAAAAAAAAAACAGACACCACAGATTGTCACTTAGGTTTATGCATTACTTTTACAGAACATAAAATTCCCCTAACCTTCTATCAAAAACATTAATAAACATAAAAACAACCATTACAGCCATTTCAGCTAGCTAATGACTGATCATGATGCTAAGAAAATGGGATACTTAGCCTTTGTAAAGGTTACACTAAGCTGTGTCGAGTACTAAAGTCAACAAAAACTGACAGTTGGGAATTCTATTTGAAAATAATATTGCAGTCATATTTCAAATTAAACATGTACTACATGGCTGTTAGTTAGCTTGGACCCTTCCTTTTAGAAATGTGGTAAATTATAAACAATGGTCACAAAGTTAATTTTTAGGCCATTTTGACTGGCCCATATATGTAATCCTGATGAAATCTCCCACACAGGTTCATGTGTTGGTATGTGATTCTCAGTTGGTGCTGCCATTTTGGGAGATGGTAAAAAAACTTTAGGAGCCAGGACCTGGCTTAAGGAAGCAGGACACAGAGGGTGTATCCTTGAGAGCCGTATCCTATCCTGACTACAGTATATTCTCTGCTTCCCATTTGCCATAAAGTCAGCGAGTTCCTCTTCCATAGGCTCCCCCGCCATGGTGGCCAGTGTCAGCACAGGCCCACCATCATGGAAACAAGGACTGTGCATGAATACTGAAAGCCCTGAATTTCTGAGTTTAAATGAATCTCTCGTAAGTTGTCTGTTAGCTGTGCTGTCACACTGATAGAACTAATCAATGTACCACCAAAGGAGTCCCCATACAAGCTGTGACAGCGCTCAGCCCTCACAGGACTTGCCAGCCTTTAGGATAGGAGACTGTAAGCTTCTGAACCTATGAAGCTTGTGCAGTGGTGCCAGGAAGAACCATACCAGCAATGCTTGCAATCCACCGAACCCCCACCCTCTTGAATGGGCCACTCTGTTTATTCTCCCTAAGTCATTCTTAAATGAAACGGTGGTCAGTTGGCTGAAATCCTACTCAGCCTGTTAAGTCTCTCTCACATCATGTCCTACATTCCAGCCTTCACATGGACTCGTCTTTCTAAACAACAAAGTTAATACTGGCGGGCTTCTAAAAAGAATCACCTAGTATACCCTGTGTGAAGGCTATTCCTGGTGTCACCTTGACTACACCTGGAATGAACAACAACCCAGAGACAGAGGGCACACTGTGATCCAGATCATGAGGCTGAAGACACAGGCTTCTGACCTGGATCTGACATGGGATGACATGACTTGTGATCCAGATCTTGAGGCACAGTGGCCATGAAAAACTTAGGCCTAGGCAAGGTAGTACACGCCTTTAATCCCAGGAGACAGAGGCATGCAGATTTGAGTTCAAGGCCAGCCTGGGACAGAACACGTTCCAAATCCAGGCATGGTGGTACACACCTTTAATCTGGGCCACACCTTCTGCTGGAGGCCTACATAAGGACATTGGAAGAAGGAAGATTCACTCTTCATCACCTGCTTGCACTTACTTGCCAGCACATCTGTTGGGACCTACTTCTTCAGGATTCCAGCTTATACAGAAGACCAGCTAAAACACCTAGCCTTGTGGGACTGAGCAACTGCTAGATTCTTGGACTTCCCATTCCCAGCTGCCCATTGTTGGGTTAGTGGACTGCATGTAAGCCATTCCAATAATTTCCCTTAATACATAAACATTCTATAACAGCTGTGACTCTAGAGAACCCTGACTAATATACTCAGTTACTCTTCTGTACAGACCTTTGCTTTGTTTTGTTGGGACAAGTCTCTCTACATAGCCCTGACTGTCCTGGAATTCATTGGGTGGACTAGAAAGTCCTTAAACTCAGGCAGAGATGTGCATGCCTCTGTCCCCCCTGTGTCAACACAAGCAGTATCCGTAAAAACTGCTAATGCCAACAACATTTTGAGTTTTGCTATTACTTGCTGTTGTTACTGAGACAGAATCTGGCTATAGTTCTCAAGCACCACAAGGCCCTGGGCTCCAGAGAGTCTCCTGCTACACCTCTCAGCTGGATGTATACAGTTATGTGCCACTATGAAGGGGAAGTGCAAGAATTCTCAATCTGATATCCTCTAGTAATGCCTAAGGTGCCAATACTGACTTCAGGAACAGGCTCCCTCCTGCCAGTTCCCTTAAGTTCCGCATTGAGCAAGTGTTGGTGAACTTACTGCAGTGAAATCCATCTTCAGTTCAATCACTTTCGTTAAGTCAGGCAGCGCTGCTTTGGATTTTCCCATGGCTAAGAAGACAGTAGCTCTCCTATAGTACGCAATATAATTATCAGGGTCGCCATCTGAAAATTAAAAGAATAAGTATTAGCTGTCTTTGACAAAAGAGCCTGAGAAAATTACAGTTTACAATTTTATTTAGAATGACAAACAGGCAATGATAGCTCACCACTCTAATCCCAACACTTGGGAGGCAGAAGCGGGCTAAGTTTTAGGATAGCCTAGTGTCTATAGCGAATTCAAGTCAAGCCAGGGCTACACAGACTCTCTCTGAAAAGTAAATAAAGAACCGTAAGAAGAACACTAAAATTAAGAGCTCAGGATACAGTTGAGTGACACTGTGCCGGGTGAGTGGAACACGTGGCGACTCCTACAGGGTGGCCCACCCAGGAAGAAAACTAAAGCTCCCTGTCCTTCACTTTCCCTTCTCTGGAGGTGCATCTGTATCCTCTGTAATGCCTGCTCTCCTACACCAAAAGATGCTCGCCTAAACTCTTGGAGCCATTCTAGCAAACTGACTGAACTTAAGAAGGTGCTCGTGGAATGCTGGCTCATGCCTGGAGAGCCGGGCTTCTAAGGTGGGCAGTAGTCTTTCTCAAAACCTATGGATCGTAGGCTGCTACCTCCAAGCACATAGCATCAGAATGTAACTGAATCATAGGAAGCTAACTCATATCCAAAGAGAGCCTTTAGGACTGCTCAGTAGGAAGAAGTCTCCATGCATCCGGGTAGGCAGAAGTCAATAAAGTAGTGTGTGTTGGGTAAGACCAGAGGTTGGTGTTGAGTTTTCTTCTACCTCTACTCTCAGAGCATCAAATGACCGTGGTTCAACATAGAAATGGAAAGTCACCTTGCCTAGAGATACAGGGTCACGTGTGTGGTACTTGTTTCCTTTCCTTTCCTCTTAAAGAGCAACTATGGCAGTGTAGGATGGTGCAGTGGGTCAGCCTGAGTTCATCTCTCACAAAAGGGAACAAAAGGCTCCTTCTTAAACTACACACAAGGTAAGGCTATCCTGACATACGTGTGTGTTTGTGTGTGTGTACGCACCACATGTGGACACACACACACAAAGATATAAATAACATCTACATGACAGGAGTTCCTGGACCTAGTCCGCATCTACCAGTATACAGGAAGTAGAGAGTAAGATATGAATTTTTTAAATCATACTCGGGGGTCTGAGGCGATGGCTCAGTAGTTAAGAAAACAGAGCTCAAGTTTACGTATCATCACAGATACCTGCGACCACAGCACCAAGAAGATCCAATGCCTCTGGCCTCCCCGAGGACACGCATACACCCCACCTCCTGCCTGCTATGATAAAAAACGCCGTGACCAAAACCAACTTGGGGAGGAAAGAGATTATTTCAGTTTACAACTCTCAGGTCACAATCTATCACTAACGGAAGTCAAGGCAGGAACCTGGAGGAATTGTAGCAGAGCCCATGGAGGGATGCTGCTTACTGACTTGTTCCTGATTGCTTGCTCAGCCTGCTTTCTTATAACAAACATCCAGGACCACCAGGCCAGGGTGCCACCACCCACAGTGAGCTGGCCCTCCTACATCACACATCAATCAAGAAATACCTTACAAGCTTGCCCACAGTCCAGCCTGGTGGGAGTTTTTCACCTGAGATTCCCCACTCTCAGAAGACTCAAGCTTGTATCAAACTGAGTCTGGGGGCAGGGAGTCAGCACAATATTATATTATATTATATTATATTATATTATATTATATTATATTATATTATATTATATTATATTAATTATATATTTAGCAAACTGAACAAGAGAACGAGATTGAAGTTCTGTTCCTTAGAGCATCCAACAATTCAAGCACGAGTGACTTGGACCTAACAAAAACCCTCATAGCCGGGCGGTGATGGCGCACGCCTTTAGTCCCAGCACTTGGGAGGCAGAGGCAGGTGGATTTCTGAGTTCGAGGCCAGCTTGGTCTACAGAGTGAGTTCCAGGACAGTCAGGGCTACACAGAGAAACCCTGTCTCAAAAAACAAAACAAAACAAAACAAACAAACAAAAAAAACGAGGACCCTCATTTTTGAAGAAAACCCTAAAGAAGGCCAATTATAATCAATGTTATAAGTGTTACTGTTTTGGAGACGGTCTGTGTGGTCCTCAGAGCTCTGCCTCACTGGGATCAGCAGTGTGTAGCACTGTGCTCGGCTAATGTTGTAAGCCTTGGTAGTATGAGCACCAAGACTGACTGCTTTACTGGTTATGTAAATTTTTATTCTGGTCCAGCCTAATCAAACTAGGTCAAAGTCTTCATTCACTCATTCACTGAGAATCAGATAGAAGGGAGAACAAAACCGTACGCAAGAGGTTCCCAGGACTACAGAGACAGCTCAGTAGTTACGAGCACAAGGGGCTTTTGCGGAGGATCTTGATCATACCATTTGGAAGTCACTGAGCTCCTGTCATATCTGAGAAGCAGCGTGTGCCCTCATTTCACAGGGAGGCTCTCAAGGGACAAGCTTTCCAGAACACACTCAATTACATGTCAAAGCAGGCGCGGGGTTTTGTTGTTTTATTGTTAACTGAACAAAACACTATTAACTGTAATATTGGTTTTCTTACCAGAAAAATGAGGAAATCTAACATTTTAGACACCCCCTTCATTAATTTACAGCTTTAGGACTGATGGTGTAGTTCAGAGCTAAATCAACAACTTGCTTGGCCCCCAGGCCTTGGGTGCAGTACCCAGTGCCGTACAAACACACCAATGACCGCTTGTTACTCACCCAGGCCATACACCTAGGACACTCTCTAAAGCTATCAAGGAAGTGAGTTCAGGCCCAAGAGGTCTTTGTCCTCATTTTCTTACAAAACTGGACATGATAATGCCACAAAAGAGGACAAGGTTAAAATGTGTGTTTACTATCATCCCCAAGAAGTAAAGACATCAATAAAAATCAGAGTTTAAGAAAAGCATGAAATGGGGCTTACAAGAAGGCTCAGTAAAAAAAAAAAAAAAAAAAAAAAAAGACACAATGCCAAGCTTGATAACCTGATCCACATAGTGAAGGAGAACCAGCTCCCACAGGCTGTCCCCTAATCTACACCACATGCTCTCACTGAAGCAAGCACACACGACACCCAACATAAGTATAGATGAGGATGGATGGATGGATAGATGGATGGACAGACAGATGATAGTGAATAAATGAACTTGCAAAGAAAAATAATGCCAAACCAAAACCTAACTGCATTTTCTGTTTTTAAAATGAATTACAATAGTAGGAGATGACTCTTCTGGGAACACACTATATTTTGTGAAACAATCAGCTGCCTCTCTTACTTGTCGGGTGCTGAGTACCTGATCTTCACCACCACCACCACCACGGTAAGAAGTAAGTCAATAAAGGAAGACTCTGAGAAAAGTCTTATCAAAAGTTTAAAATGTATACTGTAACTCATATAGGAAGAAGCTTCAGAGCTGGGCATGGTTATAGATCATGTTTAACACCAGTATGCAGAGGCAGGAGGATCTCTGTGAGTTCGAGGACAATTTGGTTGACTTATTCAGTTCTAGGCTAGCAAAGATTCACTTCTTTTCTTTAGAAGTCACAATATTACAGAAAGAAAAGAAGTCACCCAAAAGAAACACCATAATGGACAGCTGGAATCTAACTAATATTGAAGAATCAATGAACTAGAAAAATCTCAAAAAAATGTTTTTTTCAAAGAAATGACTATATTGATAGCCCAGTCAAAGTATAACACATTATGTGAAACTTTATGAAAGACACTGATAAAGTTTTCTATCAGAATCTCTTGGTTTCCTTTGGATATTTTATGTTAATAGCATGATGAGTGTTATTATGACATTTGCCACAGATATGCTGTGTTCTTACTGCATTCCGCAGACATTCACTCCCCTCCATCTCCTCAGAGCCCCTCTTCCATTTTCACATCTGTGACCCAGTGAGGCTCACAAGGGTTACTATAGGTCCTGGATTGGGTAATGGGTTGTTTACAGAAAGAACTCCTTAGCCACTGGCAACACCACTGAGATGTCTCTCTTCTCCTGGCAACCACTAAATGCCTCTCAGTACTGGAAAGAGGGATACCTCCTGACACATCCCCACACCTGAAGTCTGGCAACAGGTGGTTCTTTGAGCTTCCAGGGGAGATGAAGACGTTCCATTTACAGCTGAGCCGAGCTGTCAGCAGTTGCTTCCTGTCCATTTAACCAAGTACGGCTCTCTACAGTTACTGCTGCCCACTGCACAACAGCTTCTCAGACTGTTAAAATCTTCAATTATGTTCACTACGTATATGACTAAGCCTCAGCTACCTGTTTTTTATTAGTGTGTGTGTGTACGAGTGTGCGTGCTGGTACTTGAGGCCAGATGCACCAGATGCAGCTGGAGTTACAGGTAGTTTAAGCCAATAGTCATGGGCACTGTGAATTACCCTCTGGTCCTGTGGAAGAGCAGTACATGATCTTAACCACCGAGACATCCCTCCAGTGTCCTCAGTTATCTCTTCTGTTAGGTACATATGCATTCATGCGTTGTGTGTTTATGAATCTAATTCACCCAGAATCCTGAAAATACGTTTAATGGTTTATTTAACAAGTAATAATGAAGTGTTATCCAAAATGGAAGTTCTGACTAGAACTCAGAAGAGAGCAACTGAGTGGTCAGGGCTATGATACCAACCAACTGCAGCGTGAAACTGAGATAAAGCATCGGCCAGCTGTCCAGCTGCAAGTAATTTCTTTCCCAATTCAAGATGCTTCTCTACGTCCGCATTTCCTCCACACTCAGCACCTGAAGAGAGAGAGAAACAGGACACGTTAACTTTCCACGACCCAAGATGAACCCCAAAAGTAAAACGTTAAAGATAATCTTTATCTGGCTCAGTCATCTACTGATTTTATAACATATAAAACTCTCCCAAAATATACCTATATTCAATTCAGCCAACCGAAAGAATAAAACCAGTCCACAAAAAAAATGAAAAACAGATTACAGCGTTGATGACGTTATTCTGAATAATGAATTAGTACCACTTTGTTAAAGCTGGCAGATGGTCCAGGGGTTGGGCAAGCCTGAGGACCAGAGTGTGGATCCCAGCAACCACAGAAATGCCAGGAGGGCGTGGCAGAATCGGGATCCTCGGACAAGCTTGCTAGCTAACAAACCAGAGGAAAGGCTCTGGATTCAGTGAGAACCAGTCTCAGTAAATAAAACCAAAGCAGGATGAAGGAGGTAACACCTAACATTAACCTCTGGCTTCCACCGGCACATGAATATACAGACACATGAATACACATACACACATGCCACACATGCATGTGCACCTGCATACGTGTTCATGCACACATATGAACACAGACACATCACACTTCCAAACTGGTTTGCTATGTTCGAACCTCTCACCTAAATGAATGAACAACAGACAGTCCGCTATGACATTCAGGTACTTCCTGCCGGTTATTTGGGATGAGCGAGCCCTGCCCCTTGAATCCCCCATACCAGACATTCCAGTGGGAGACAGACACAATCAACAGTAAGGTATATAGACTATCAGATAAAAGGACTATGGAATAAAACAGATGCTGTGAAGGGTCACCAGGGAGAGGCCACTCATAGACGTCGTGGTCCAAGGCAGCCTTCCCTGAGAAACTGACATGGAGGAAGTAAGAAGGCCATCATGCAGACATGGCAAAGGGGCTTTCCAACAAGAACCAGCTAAGGCAAAGGCCTTACGTCCATGCTGTCCAGAAATGGCAAGGAGATCTGGATACCTACAGAAAAGCCACAAAATAAACAATATGAAGTCAAACAGAAAGCCCTATGTCCTGCTTTGGATTTTATTCTTGCTGAAAACGGAGCCAGACACTTTAAGTAGAAGACTGAATAAGTGGGCCAGTTATCTATAAACGGTCTCTTTACTCGGAATTCCTTCTTCAACGCTTCCCTGACATTAGGAATAAAGTGTTCAGGCAGTTCTCCTTTACTGTGGGGACAACGTTGTATTTGTTAGTAAAGGGAGCTAGAGAGAGCTGCAGAAAGGAGACTTCCTGGTTCTCTGCCCCTCAGCAATCTGGCAGCCTCAGTCCTGAACCAGCAAGGACACGGCACAGGCAAATTCTACCTTCACAACTCACAGCATCGTCCTCACACCCGGGCAGGTAAGGTGAATGGCTCTGTGATCTGCACCTGGACATTGTTTCCAGGCCTCCCAGTCGCCCGTAATGGCAGAAAGGGTGACACAAGGGCTGTGGTAAGGGATGGACTCTGTCTACGCACTCGAGTATGGAGAGAAGATCGTCAAGAGAACGGCTACTTCTAGCTAAGCCATTCTGGGGGTCTCCACAACAACTCTTGAGTAATCACCCCCACCTCAGTCACAAAGCTGGGCTAGCTAAAATCAGCCATCAAAGTGTGAGGACTGCAGAATTCAAACTGCAGCCTCACCAATGTCCCATCAAGTCTCACCAAGTTCTCCTGTGAACACTGCGCCATCAATACATAACTGGATCCTAGCATCTGTAGCGGGAGCATAAGCTTGGATCCGGTTAAAACTGACTCTTGAATCTCATGTCCTTCTCAACCTCTTACCTCAAGCTGCACCCCTTCCTGTCTAAGGAGGCTCTTTCCACTGTTTAAAAGCTATAAAGCATTTTTTCTTCTCTTCTAGTTTTCTACAGCATACAAGCAATCTGATATTACAGATTTATGTGAAGAATCGGAGCATCATCTTTGTGCTTCCTATATGATCCTCACATCATCTGATTTAATGGCAACACAGCTACTTCTGTAAGTTCAATAACAATACTTCTACCTTAACAAGAAAGCCGAGTATGATCCATCTAACTACATCTAACTACAGTGTATGAGATGACACAGATTGGAAATGAAGGAAGACTTTATGTACTGAATCAAGACTCTCACATACTGGCAGGCCCAGGGAACCTTAGCTCAGTGGACTCCGAGAAACAACATTCAAGCACACTCTCTGACTTTTGCCATGGATGGACTCCAAGTATTCTGAGTGCTTCAAAGTGTGATAAAACAAATAGAAAGTACCACAGCCAGGCAATCACCTTTACAAAATCAGTACTCAGACTGACTGATAATCAGTACTTTTGGAACTCAGTACTTCTGAAACATCCAGACGTCTGTAAAGCCAATTCTTACACAGCCTAACACTAAAAAAAGAAAACAATATTAGTAGCATAGCTATTTTTTAAAATTGTTTAAAATGTGTATACACAGAATCAAAAGGTCGCAACAGCTATTTAAACTCAGCTCGAGCTGTATGGACACAATCGAGAAGAAGAAATAAACAAGGTAACTTAGTAAGTGCCGATCTGATGCTAGGTGACAAAATGCCTGAGGAAAGGAATAATTAATACAGTAATCAAATAAGGCTCCCCAGTGGAGGATGTCTGTGTCGGAACAACAATGACAAGGAGTGGAGAGTAACGCTGAGTGACACATGCCAAAACCACATGCAGGCAGCCAAACCAGTGCAACAAGCCTCGTAGAGCCAAGCTCAACTTCAAGGAAACTAGATAAAGCTACGACGGCAGGGAGGGCAGGACAGAGGACACATACAAGACAACTGTGAGGTAGGGCACAGAAGTTAGCTGCTTATGTAAGTGATGAAGGAAGCCCCGAAAATGCGCTTTATGGGACATTGAAGTCTACCTTGTACTTTAACAAATTATTTGGACTGTACTGTGAGAGCCTGACTGGAGTCCGATATGAACAGAGCACTGTGGTGATGTAAGCTAAAGACAGCATGTCAGATCCATGACATATACGGACTTCATTATACTTTCAAAAGATAATGCATCTTGCTGTACTGATCACTTTTTTCCAGCAAAAGTATATTAATATACTATTTACATTTTTAAAATTAACAAAGTAAACTAAGGAATATGTTGTGTTTAAAATTATTACTAGTTATAAATATTTGATGAGATAGCTTACTTGAAAGGCACTTGCCACCAACTGTGGTGACCAAAGTTTGACTCCCACAAGTTGTTCTCTGACCATCAGAGGGCACCATGGCACATGCATAACCATACTCAAACAGATACCACTAAAGATAGAGTTTAACTGTTTAAAAGTCATGAAACATTGTTGAAAGGATAATGGGATTATCATACTATATTATGTTATATTATATCATAATATATTACCAACAGGACATGTTGGCAATATAATTCATCTTTTGTATAGTCCTAAGGATCACACTCAAACCTTATACACACTAGGAAGCTGCACCACTAAACTATCCCCTAGCCTAGTCCTTACCTCTAGATTTTGATCTCTTAAAAGTAATTTCTAATATAAATTGTACCCATAAACATTTATACTTCCTACCTAAAATCAAAAAGATTACACATCATTAATGCAAACGAGTGGTGTGTACATAACTGTGGTCGATTAGACTGGAAAATGACCCAGGGTCAAATCACGGTGAAAGCACTGACTGACTGAAGACTGCTTCTGCCTTAGGTTTCCAAACCAGAACACTGATGCAAACAATCAGGACAAGCCGGGGCCTGTGGATCAGTATCCTGTGTCACCATTTACAGCAATCTCTGCATGAAGATTTCAAACATTTCCCTGTTAGATTCTCTCAGAGACACAACCAAATCAACGTACTCAATTTCTCAAATGAGGAAGTAAAAGTTAAAGTACGAGATAAACCACTAGGAAAATGAAGCCAGGCATAGTGGTACACACTTATAATCCTAGCACCTGATTGGCTGAATCAAGGGGATTGCTGTGAGTTCAAAGCCAGCTTAGGCTATATATTAAGAACCTGTCTCCAAAAATGGGAAAATGATTTCCTGATCCATCCATGAGAATGACCAAGAGGGAAACAAGTAACATAAGAATTAAAACCTACCATGTAACTAGGTACTTCTGTGTGTTTAAATAAAACTACATGTACTAGATACTTCTGTATGTTTAGCTAATTTAATTTCCCCAACTCCGGGATGTAAACATCTTTCACACTTTTATTACTAAAAAAACTGAGGCTTGAATAAGTTGACAGTTCTGGCCACAGATTCACAATGACTGCCAAACAATCTATTTCCAAAGCCCCCCTTGCTTTTCCACACAATGCATGATCCTTCTCATGCAGCAGTATTTCAGCACTGTACGTTAATTCTTAAGTCCACTGAGAGTCAAGAATGCATTTGCAATGTTCTTTGAACTGCTATGCCACTTTATACTACACGCTGCCCCTAAATATCGAGACACTCTTTAAATTTCTTTTGCTTTCTACGACTGAAAGAAGCACTTAGTTTATGACCATACCACTCTGAAGAAATCTCATCTCATCTGAAGGAGACATTTCTCATTTCTCCATCCCTTCAGAGTAAGCCTTTGATCTATATTTATAATTTTGTTCAATCAAATTTCTATTTGGTTATGTAAATTAATACTATCTCTATGCAAATTCTCATGATCCACTTTATAACTATGCAGAGAAAATCATTATTCCTTTTGTATACCTCCCATTTCTATAACAGAACACACAGCCGGCTAAAGGCTGGGAGAGCTGGCGATCTCTTTTACTCTCCAGAGGTTCCCAGCTCCTATCTTACCTTCTTCCAAATCCTTCGTTCATGCTGCATCCAGAACAAGCCTTTTGAAACACCTCCCTTCTAAAACCCTCTGCAGTATTTTCCTATTACTGGGTAATCACGGCAAACCCTCAAAGTTTAAAGGCCAAGAATTTCAGGCCCATGTCCCTGATGCTGGTCCAGGCTCACCGTCACCCATCCTTCCTCCGCTCC